TCACCCAAAACCTTTTCTACTTCCTGCACAAAGTTTGAAAACTCTTCTCCTTTCTCATCAGAGAAAAGGGAGCAAATACTCAGAGTAGCTCCCTTATGGTTCATGGAAGGACCCATATAGGAGAGAAGCTCTACCAGACGACCCAATGTGACGAAAGATTTAGCACGCACACTAATATGGTAAGACACAAGAGGACTCATGCAGAAGAGAAACCATATGAGTGCCCAGATTGTGGGAAAGGTTTGGGGGATGGCCTGTTCCCATTCGTAGCGTGGCCGCTGTCCAATCGCCACGCTGCCTCTTAGGAGGGCAGCATCAGCTGCCAATGTAGCGGCGGGGAAGGCGAAAGGCAATCCCGCCCACCAGATCAGCCTGGCGGAGGTGGGGTGGGAAACCGAGTGGCGCCAAAAACAGTGCTCTGAACCTCAGTGATATAATTTTAAGTGAAGAATTAAAAATATTAAGGACTACGTTGTTAAGACAACAATTAGAAATAGAGAATTTAGCAGCTTCTGTGATGTGAGGGCCATGTGCAGAGCGAATTGATTATGGTTGTTGTGCTTGGGTAGATCATACTAGCTAAGATGTGCCTGATTATTCTGAAATCATTGCAAACATCATGAACAAATCAATAAATTACAACAAAAGGCTAGGGCCAGAGGGAAGGATGGTTGGAATCCCTTGAAAGGACTCAATGATTGGATCCCTAACAAATGCCAATTTGTTGTTGTTTGCAGTGTAGACCAATAATAATGGTTTGTTGTAAAGACTATGATTGGATGGAAAATGAAAGATGAGAGTGAAGAGGTTGGAAAAATGTTGCAACAATTTGAGAAATATGAATGTAAAAATCAATAGACAGTATGAAAAGAAAAAGGGATTTCTGGGGGGAAAGGCCTATTGTTTTTACAGAACTGTAAGAAGACCTGCTAGCCTGTGAAGAAAATACATTGCACATATTTCTAATTTCACGAGTCTCCCTGAAGCTTGAGAATTGTATG